ATGACACCAACACACCCAAGTCTGCCCTGACTTTTATCAGGAGAGGGACGGCAGTTCGCCGTGGTTCTCGGCCGCAGATAAGATACCGGGCACTTCACACATCTAACTCTTTTAATGCTGTCTACAAGAAGTTAGGCACGGGGTGCTGAGAGGCTGGACAGCCTGCCAGGGCCATGCGGTGGGTGAGGACAGGGTGGGGACACTGAGCACCTGGCTCCCGCCCAAGGGAGAAGGGCAGCAGGGCCCGAGGGCTGCACAGCACTCTGCTCTTGGTTCCTGCCAGCACCCAGTGCTGAGCACCCATCCTGTCATTTAACCCTCGAGGACACCTCCCGGATAAAGTGTGAAGCCTTCATTTTACAGATGGGGAAACTGAGGCATGGCTTCTCTGTGATTTGCCAGGCAGTGGAGGTATCTAATGTGTGCAGAGGTATCTAATGGCATCCCTGGACCATTGTGTTACTACTGAGCTCTCCCTGGGACTGTCACCAGACCTGCCCCAGGACAAAAGAGAAATGAACTGAAGAATAACAAGGAGGGGACTTACTGACTCCCAAGCCCGCCTCTGGGCGAGTGCTTGTCTGCCCAAGGCACCTCTATGAGCCAGGGAATGACCTGCTGCTCCAGCTCCTAGACTCCCAGGATCACGGTGACTTTAAAAAAATAAAGGGCATTGGGGCTGGGGATTTAGCTCAGCGGCATAAGCACCTGCCTTGCAAGTAGGCGGTTGTGAGTTCGATCCCTGGTACCGATAAAAAAAAAAAAGGGCATAGGGGCGAACACTTGTAATCCCAACACTCTGGGAGACTGAGGCAGGAGGAGCCAAAGTTTGAGTCCAACCTGGGTAATTGAGCAACTTAGGGAGATCCTGTCTAAAAATTAATAAAAAGGCTGCCCTGGGTTCAAACCCCAGTACTAGAAAAAAATCCCAACTGTCTAAAATAGTTTTGATAGTTGCTAAACTAATGGCACTTAGAATTATCACATAGTCAGGAAATTCCATTTCTGGGTATGTCCCCCAAGGAACAAAAAAGCTCTGGAACAGATACAGGCACGTGCATGTTCCTCATTCACAGCAGCCCAAAGTGGTGGCCCACAGACAAGTGGACTGAGGAGCGGCAGTGGACACAACTTGGCCTGGAAGAGGGAGGAAATCCAGATGCCGGAGGTAACAGGGATGGACCTTGGCGACATCATGCTTGGGAGCAGACCAGGGACAGGCAGGGGCTGGGGAGTCTGTATCTAATGGGGACAGAGCTTCAGTCTGGGGAGATAGGAAGTGCCGGAGGTGGACAGTGGTGACAGCTGCCCAGGCATGGAGGTACTGGACACCCCTGAACTGGACATGAACAGGGCGAGGCTGTGTGTGCGTTGCGCGGGGGGCGAATGGGAGCTTTCTGAGAATGAAAACTGCTGGAAGGAGATGCTTTCCAATTTAGGTGAAAGGGCTGAGGTGTAGCTTGCCTGGCCTGCATGCAGCCCTGGGTGTGTTCCCAGCAGAACACAAAACGGAAAAGGCCGACTGTTCTATCTTACGTCATATTTATACATTTTATCATGATCACTGTGCAAAACGAATCTCCCCTTCCTGTAAAGGTCCTAAAGAAAAACTGTCACTTTTCTTAGACATGCAGCCCTGTCTATCCCAAGGCCTGGCTTTCTACTACGATTTTGCATAACAACATTGTTGTGAGGGCCTTGCTGAGACCCAGACAAGGAGGAAGGGCCTGAGCAACAGGGGAGCGTGATCTACAGAATCCACCTCGGCCCTGGCCTGGGGCTGCGTTGGGTCTTCAGCCCGAGGACTGGGAGCCAGGTTTCATGCAGCCTTTTCATTCTGATTACTAGGAACTAGCCAAGCCTTTAACAGCCGAGCTGGCTGGTCCCAGAAAGAGCCCTCATTCTCCGGACAAGTGACTCTAGGGGAAGTCAGTGACACTGGGATTTTAGGGGGGGATGTAGGTCATAAAAGGTCACTCTCAGGAGGGTTTGGGGGCTGTGGCTGAGACTGTAGGCTGCAGCTCACTAGATTAGAATGTGGCTTTATTTCACTTTCGCTTTGGGGGAGGCAGGATCTTGCTATGTAATTTAGGTTGATCTTGAACTCCCTTTGTAGCCCACACTGGCCTTAAACACACAGTGATCCTCCTGCCTCAGCCTGCAGAGTGCTAGGATTGCAGGTGTGCACCACCAGGCTTTATTTCAAAGGCTGAGCACTTGTTGTCTGCCAGGCCCTACCCGAGGCAGCCCCAGACTCACCCCAGCCTCTCCCTACAGGCAGGGAACTCTTACAAAGCTAATGATGACTCTTGGGCCCATTTTACAGATGGAGAAACATGTTGACTAGAAGTGAAATTGCCAAAAGTCCTATGATTAACAGGTTAGAGCCTGGATTTGGACCCAAAGCTGGTAGCTGCAGAGCCTCTACTGGGTCCTTCGAAGAACCCCTCGTCTGGGCAGCCAGGCTCCTGGGGGGGCAGTGCAGTAGAAGGGCAGGGGTCCCATTTCCAGGTCACCTGACCCTGCTCCTCTTTGTCTCGGGCATGTCGGGGGCTACACACTGCCCAGTGTGGGTGGCGTGAAGACTTGCTGGGGGAGGGGCTCAAGGCACACTTACACACTTACACAGCAGCGTATGATCACAAATACCGTGCTGGGATTGGAGGCACTGCCAGGGATGTCACAAACCTGTCTGTGATTCTCCAAGGGGTGACAGTCAGTGATAAATGAACAACACCCTATTTTATTTCATTTATTTTTTTTAATAATACTGGGGAACAGAGTCCAGGGCCTAAGCACACTAGACAAGTGCTACACTGCTGAGCTGTATCTCTAGCCCCCTTTTATTTTGAGACAGGGTCTCTCCTAGTTGCCAGACTGGCTTCAAACTGACTCGTAATCCTCCTGTCTCCACCTCCCAAGTAGCCAGGATTAGATCTCTGTACCACCACACCCAGCCGAAGATGTTCAAGGGCCATGAAGAAGCCATGAGCAGAGGGACTGGGGGACACGCAAGGTATCCCTGAGAGGCTCCTATTTGAGACCAGATTTAACTAGGAAAAGTGCTATGGTGGGGAGACTCCGGGGTGGCCTTGTAGTGGGAAGACTGGGGAGAGGGAGAGACCAGTGTGACTGGAGGGTAGGGACTTCCATGGGCTCCTCTGGGAGGTGAGGGGCCAGGCCTGCAGCAGTTACAGATAGGCTCAGGACCACAGAGCCAGGGTGGGAGTTGGACCCTGGATTGGTCTGATTGATTCCATTTCATTTTACAGCCCTGCATCCCAGTGAGGGCCAGGCCAAAAGAACCTCTAGGGTAAAGTGGGCCAGCAGCGCACAGAGGGGAACCAGCCACAGCAGGGTCATTTGTTGGACTCCAGGGCCAGGAAGTGAGCCCCAAACTGAGCCTGCTGCAAGAGGGGAAGAGAGGGTCTCAGCTCAGCAAGAGCTGGGCCAACATCAGAGGGGCTGCCAGAGCCGGCAGCACTCAAGCCTGCCTCCAGATGCCGGGCTGGACTTTGGCTGAAGGAGGGCTGTCCACCTTCCACGCAATTTCAACAGACTCAGGGACCAGAGACAGGAAAGGATGGGGCAGGGACAGTCCCCTAACCAGGATAGCCATCTGGGTACCAGATCTGAGGCTCTTCTGGGGTCTGGGGGCCCCAAGGTGCCATGTGTGCCTTGCAGCTGTGACCTGCTTTGCAGAGCCTTCATGAGGGACCTGGTCCTGCCAGTGCCTCACTCTTGGAGCCTCCCAGGCTCCCCTGGGTGATATGAATGCAGCAGCCCAGTGGGATTCAGAGAGGCAGAGGTGGCAGAGGTTGAAAAGGCCTGGGGATGCCCCTGGTCACAGGTGCTAGGTCTCCAAGACCTTACAGCAGTGGCCAGGTCATGGCTCTTAAAGCCCCGCAGGTACCACAAAGAGCACTAGTTTTCACACATTAGTGAGGCAGCCACTAGTGGGCACAATAGGGGGTGGGGTGTAATGGGGGAGGGGAGTCTTCGAGGGTGGGGTTCCATCTACCCTTGACTGTTCTGAACATTCCTGCTGGGGACTCAAAGATGGGGAATGGGTGACCCTGAAGCCCTATGGGCTCCAAAGTAGGCTGTGCAGGGCTGCAGGGCTCCGCCCATCCTGGACCCATCACTCACCTTGTCGTGGGATTCCCTTAACAGTAACTATGTCACCCACCCCTGCTCAGCCGGGCTTCCACTAGGCAGAAAAAATGGGCACCCTGTGCTCCACCACCTGGCCTTGCCTGCTTGCAGCCTTGGGTCCTCTGCTCAGCCAGCCACAGTGGCTGGCTGCCTTGAGGCACCCTCAACCCAGAACAGTCATAGCAAAAGGTCGGGGTTCCCGGTAGTTTCTAAGGGGTGCAGCACAGGAGGGAATACTGACCTCTGCGCCCACTAGGGAAAAGAAGACAGGCGAAGAAAAGCGCTTGAGGGAAACTTTGAAAAGCAGAAGTGGAGGTGATCCGAGGGGCGGGACGACCAGGTTTGTGGGCTGGGCGGGGCCAAGGGTGGGGGCCAGGGTCCCTCCAGGTGACAGTAGCTGCGCACGTTCCAGGCCTCCTCCCCTCCCTGGTCCCTGATTCCCGGCCCCTGATTGGCAGGCTCCTGAGACCCAGCAGCTAGCGTCCAGCGCGCCCAGGCGAACGCGCAAGGCCCCCCGCGGGAGCCGGCGAGTAGGAGGGGGCCCCCGGCTATATATATAGCCGCTCTGCCTCAGGCCTGCCCGGCGCGCAGGGAGGTGCGCACCACGCCGCGGAGTCCTAGCTCGGCCGCGCGCCCCTCCCGCTGTCGCCTCTTGTAGCTCCATGCAGCCCGGATAACGCTCTTCGGGGGACCGTCACTCACCTCCACTTTGGCTCCCGCCTCGGCGGCGACGCACTCCCAGCCCCGACCCAGGCCGCGCGCTCCCGAGACTCGCCCCACGCGCAGCTCGGCCGGGCTTCCTGGGCGCACGGACCCCCTGACGGACGCACGGCCCGCGGGCCGGGATGGTGGGGCCCGGGACGGTCGCGGCGGCGCTGCTCCCGGGGCTCCTGCTAGCCCTTCTGGGGCCCTGGGCGGGCCAAGGGGGCGCAGCTGCGCCCACCGCACCCAACGACACCCTGGAGGCCGAGCTGGAGCGCCGCTGGGAGAGCCTGGTGGCGCGCTCGCTGGCGCGCTTGCCGGTGGCCGCGCAGCCCCAGGAGGCGGTCGTCCAGAGCGGTGCCGGCGACTACCTGTTGGGCATCAAAAGGCTGCGGCGGTTGTACTGCAACGTGGGCATCGGCTTCCACCTCCAGGTGCTCCCCGACGGCCGCATCGGCGGCGTGCACGCGGACACCGCCGACAGTGAGTGGGCGGCGGGTGGGAAGGGCTGGGACTGGGCGGCGCCCTCTTCCAACTCACCCCAGCCCTCCTGGAGACCTCGGCCGGGCACCTGCTCCAGGCAGGCTCCGGTTCCTGTCCCATAAGACGCCGGGACTCGTGGACGAAAACACCCATGGTTCCTGCAGCTGCCGCAGGCACCGGCTTTGCGCACCCGGCGGCCGGCGGAGCCCCGCCTCCCCGCCTTCGGAAGCCCAGGCTCCCGGAGCAGAATTCCAGCGCCTTCGCCCGTGGGCACAGAGCGCGCGGCACAGTCACCGGCACGCGGGGAGCCCGGGGCTCGCGCCCAGGCTGGGGCCGGGCTTGGGGGCCGCCTCACTCCTGTGGTCAGGGACTGGTCGCTGATGCTACAGCCAGGACAAGAGAGGGGCTACAGAGGCCCTTGGGGGCGGCCTGCACTGGGGACCCTGGGTCCTTTACATCATCACCTGCCACAGAGATGAGGTCCCCAGAGGCGCACACAGGCTGAGGGACTGTGGGCCAAGGGTCACCTGCCCCGCATGACCTGTGCCCCGCCCCCAGGCCTCCTGGAACTCTCCCCGGTGGAGCGAGGGGTCGTGAGCATCTTCGGAGTGGCCAGCCGGTTCTTCGTGGCCATGAGCAGCAAGGGCAAGCTCTACGGCTCGGTGAGTACCTCTGGGTTGGGCGTGACACCCATTTGGGTACCACGTACAGGGCTAGGAAATCGTGATCTTTCCAGGCCACAAGACATCAATCCTTCTACCAAACACAAGGAATAGGGGGCAGTGTCAGGGTCTCCAAGTTGGAGCTGGTCATGGTGCACTCGAATCCCCTGAAGTGTCCCCAGGACCCCATGTCCAGCCTTGATAAAGGGAGCTGCCCTCTTCCTGTCACCCCAAGTTGACACCTTCCAGCCCACTGACAAGAGGCCATGGGTAGCTTTGTCTGTAGCCAAAGAGCAGGTCCTTGTAGGCAGGACATGGTAGAGACGAAATCCTCAGTCCTCTGGCTGCTAGGTGCCTGGCAGGTGGCCGGGCCCCAGCTGTTGTGGGCTGGCCATAGCCTCTCCTAGCCTGTGAGGGTCTTGACACCCAGCTGCCCAGGGAAGACCTCCCTGCCCCCCAACCCCCTGGCCTGGCTCACGCTGTGCTCTGCCCTCCAGCCTTTCTTCACCGATGAGTGCAAGTTCAAGGAGACCCTCCTCCCCAACAACTACAACGCCTACGAGTCCCACAGCTACGCTGGCATGTTTATCGCCCTGAGTAAGAACGGGAGGACCAAGAAGGGAAACCGCGTGTCTCCCACCATGAAGGTCACCCACTTTCTCCCCAGGCTGTGACCCTCCAGAGGAGCCCTGCCCCGGATTCTGGAAGCCTCCTGGAGGAGCACTGTCTTCAGATGGAGAGTGTAAAGCGAGAGTAGGTGTGAGCTATTTAAATTAATTATTTAAATATGTATATATTGCCATCCAATTATTTATGGTTCTGTGAGTGTGTTCCATATTTTTCTGGAAAGAGAAAAAAGAAAACAACACCACCAAAAACACACAACTTTGACTTTCCTGGTGCAACGGGGGATATATGGATGCCGTTGGATTTATTTCACTGTCCAAAAGGTTGTCACAAGTGTGCTGCTACTTCATGTTTGTAAAAATGGTGACCTCAGATTCTGATGGTGTCCAGCGTTCCCATCTGGAAAGGCCTGCCTGGGGCCTTGGGAGCCACGCTGCCTCCAGCAGCAGCCTGCAGCGGCACCACTCCCTTTGTGCCTCCTTGTTCTGAGTCAGGAAGGATCAGTTTCTCACTTCTGCCCGGAAAGTGCGCTTGTCCCGGTCCTGGCTGCCACTGCGTTTTTAGATCCGCCAAGGCTGACTTTGGAGCTTTGCTGAGTCCATCTTCCTCGATCTGCCAGATGGGAGAGACCCTTAGACCGCTTCATAAACTCCTGTTGGCCTTTTTTGGAGCAGCCACAGCCATTAGGGAAAGGCAAGGTGGTTTTGTAAAGTCCGTGTGAAGGAATCCATGTCCCGCCGAGAGACTGGAAGGGGACAAGATGGTGTGTTTGCACCACAACTCAAAACCTGGTAATGAAATATAATTTGTGATAGAACGGTCTTCTGATCATGGACTGGGATGTGTATTTTTTAAAAGTAAAAGCAAGCAAAAAAAAAAAAACCAAAAAAACAAAAAAACAAAAAAACCCAGGCCTCCCTGTGCACAGGGAACTTCAGGCTAGACCTCGCTGTTGTTTTTAGGTAAAATGTCCCTGTGACTGTACAGGACTCTGGCTGCAGCCTTCCCTGCAGGAACATGCTGCCTTCCCGTGCATTCCCTGCACATGCGCATTTAACATCTACCGCATAAGCCCACACAGCCCTGGCGAAGCTGCATCAGGAACAGAGGGTGCAGTTTGCCATCCCGAGTGGCTTTTTTCCATATGTAGCCAAAGAGGACTGCAGATAGCGTTGGTGCGTCCCACTCGAACCTTGTCACGTTTGAGCTATCTTTACCCCGTGATTTACTTTTAGTAAGGGCAATCATGGTGAAAATATTTGCAGACAGCTGTTCGAGTGCACTATATGGTCACCAAGTAACCTTATATTTTCCTTTATATATTTTACAAATGTAACCCCTGTCGTTGAATAAAGATGGAAGAGGCAGGGTTGGTGAGGTTTAAAAAAAGTTCTGAGGTGATGGCAAACATTTAATTTTAATGAATGACTTTTTAGAGTTTATACAAAATGACCTTAGCTTGCTACCAGAAATGCTCTGAATGTTTCGCCAAGACTTTAAGACTCTCCTAGGATGTTTCTGAACCCTCTCCCGAATTAACTTTATGGGAGTCTACAGACAGCAAGACTGGAAAATCTGATTGGACTTTTTGTCTTTCACATTCCTTTTGCAAACTCTTTGTTCCAATGCAAATCATCGACTTAAAATACTATTCTTACCCAAGGCCTATAAGAAGCCAGTTGCAAGAAGCCACTGAGACAGGACCACACACCTTCAACTGCTGCTTAGAGTCTTAGGACTTTGCAATGTAATAATAGTTTTTCTAATTTTTAAATCACACCCTGGACTCCAGCAATGGTCAGAGATCTTCATGCTGTTGGGACAGTGGAGGGGTGGATAAGTTTTGGACTTGGTGTATTCACACAGAAACAAGCCATGATCTACTTGGGTGCATCCAATTCTTAAGAGATGTCTCATCTCAGAGACCAATCAGGTTGTCAGGGATTAACGTGTTTTAAGGGCACAATTCCATCTTTGGTCGCTTGTAACTTATATGTATCTTTCTTCCCAGACTGTGCAGGATGCACCTAGGCATGTGACTGAACCTTTGAAATATTGTAACGTTTCCACGTTGCTGTGAGGGAATTTGAGGTTTCTGTATTTACCACTGTTTCCGAATCTGTCTGTAGTTTTATACAGGTGCCAATCCATGATGTGATGTATGTGCTGTGCACATGGAGATGCCCAATAAAATGAGAAGCATTTCATCATGTAAAAAAGCCCCACTAGAAGTGATGTAAATAATTGGGAAAGGTATTAAAGATGGTGAAAACATGCCTTGAAATGCCAAGATCCTGTGTCTTCGGTCTTCCACTGGTCTCTTTCTATTTGAGGGCTAAGCCTCACATTGCTTGGGGTGGGGGTGGGGGAGACAAATTTTAGCCAGCTGTGTCCACACAAATGTAGCCTTGAAAACAGAGCCTTGAGGGGGGTGTGAGTGTCACCAATTTTGCCATGACTCCGAATCTTGCAGTTTATTCTCATTCTCCCAATGGAGCTAATTCACGCCACTGCCCCACTGTCACTAACCAGGGTTCCTAGCTCCCTGGCCTCAGCCTGGGGTGCACTAAAGCAATTTGCACTTCTCTGGGGCAGGGAGGGAACTCTGGGGCTGGTCCTCAAAAGGCTGGAGAATGCCTTGACATCAACAGAAAGAGTCCTAAATTGCCTTTTATAAAAGTGGGGAGTCTCAGGTGTGCAAACCCCAGCTACTCCTGAGGTTGAGGGAAGAGAGTTGCAGTTCAAAGCTAGCCAGGGCAGTTTAGCAAGACCTTATCTCAAATAAAAATTTGTAAAAACCTGGGGAGGAAGCATAGTGGTAGGGTGCTCCTGGCTTGATCTGCAGTCCCATCCTCTCCAGTGCAATAGAATAAAATTTCAGAGTACCGATCAGGAAGGCTAAGGAGAGTTTTGTTTAACTTGTGGCTTTTGCTAGTGTAGGCTGGACTATCACTAGCTGGTTTCCACTAGGGTGCCCTTAGTGTATTTTGCTTAGTGTATTTAGCTTAGTGTATTTTGCTGCTACGTTGTATTAAAAATGCCAGCCTAACTATGCTTAGAGTGCTGTCTTTGGCAGCATAAACACTGAAATCAGAAGGATACAGAGGAGAGATTAGCATAACTATTCCTAGAATCTGAGACTTACTTCTCACAAAATATGTTCAATTGTTTCAAAAAGACAATCAGAGTCGGGTTCATAACTGCCTCTTGTTTTCCACAGGCTCCCCTGATTTCTTCTTTTTGAGACAGGGTCTCACTATGTAGTTCAGGTTGGCCTTGAACTCACAGCCATTCCCAGGATGCTGGGATTACAGGCTTGTGCCGCCACATCTAGCTCTTTGCCTGGTTTCTTCCTGACACCCGTGATCTGAGTATGACAGAGTTAACTTTTTTTTTTTTTTTTGTGGTACTGGGGATCAAACTCAGGACCTTGCGCTTGCCAGGCAGGTGCTTATACCACTGAGCTTAATCCCTGGCCCCAGAGTTAACATATTATGAGTTAAATTATGGTCCCCTTCTCCCACCCTGCAAAAGACACTGAAGCCCCACCCCTCAATGATCCAATACCTGATCATTTGGAAGTGGGGTCTTCACAGCAGTAATTGTGCTAAAATGAAGTCTGCATGGCTGGTGTCTTCATGCACAGCAGGCTGTGTAAAGGGACAGACACAACCGTGAACACCAGAGGGCAGAGAGCCAGGTGAGGCTTCCACAAGCCAACAAACATTGCCTGGGGACTGGGATTTAGCTCAGCGGCGTATGCATAAGCACCTGCCTTGCAAGCAGGCGGTTGTGAGTTCGATCCCTGGTACCAATAAAAAAAAAGACAAAAAAAATTACAACAAACATTGCCTGCAGCCAGGGGAGTGGTTCTTGATACCCCCTGGAAGGATCCACCCGGTCAATGCCTGGATCTGTAGATATCTGGCCTCCAGAATGGACTCCGTGCCTTTCTGTTCATCAGTTTGAGCCTCCTGGCTTTAGCACACCATCACTATAGCCCCAGGAGACTAGCATAGACAGTTATTCGTATGGGGGCACTGAAACCTTCCCATGTCCTTCTGGGGGCCCCTGGTGTCCTCAGTCACCTAAGTATGCCCTTGGCAAACAAGGAATGCTCTCACCAGTTTGTGGTATGAAATCCCCTTGTGGTTGCAGAATCCAATGCTCTCTACCTCTAGCGTAGAGGGGTCATAGGGGCGGGGGTCAGGCTGGGCCCAAAGAGCTGGAAACTTATACATTCCAGAAACACACTTGTTGAGTGCCCGCCGTGTACCAGGCTCAGAGCTGAGTGAAGGAACTCTCGTTATAACAGAGGAGGTGACAGCTAACAAGAGACAGAAAACAGCCTGCAAGGTGGGCAGAGCTAACGTGACAGAGAGCAAGGCAGAGAGGCCAGCGTGGGCCTTAGCAGTGAAGGCCCCGGTGGGAGGCCTTAAGGGAGGGTCTTCCAAGGAAAGGAGCAGCCAGGGCAGCTTAGGAAGAAGCGGTCTCAAAATGTAAAGCAAAACGAGGCTGGGGCCATAGCTCAGTGTGACACTGCTGGGTTTGATCCCCAGTATAACTCATGAAATGAAATGGAGACAAGAAACAGCGTTGGACTGTCTTGCACTCCTCAGATCACCCTGCCAGCCAGAGAGCCTGGGATTTCCAGCTTCCCCTTCCCCAGCTCGGGAGTGGCCTGCTGTAGGGCCCCATTCCCCCGGATTTGGAGCCCATCCCAGCTGCTCCTTCTAGGCTTTTTCTAGGGTGACCTTGGGAAGCCAGGGACTCCTCCCGGCTCTCAGCACAGCTCTGAGTTTGAGATGGTTCGCACAAGCAAACAGTAAATATTGGCTATGATCATTGTTATTCTGCTGAGAGGTTAATGGCATACTTAACAGTCCTTTCTACCTGCCCCTTGCTAATGGGAGGGTTTTCTGGCTGGCTCTAGGGCTTCTGTCATGCAGAGAGGAGGCCTTGTCTTGGGTGTGGCTGCTTCTCTCTCTTTTTTTTTTTTTTTTTGAGCTAGGTTGCATAGTACCAGCCCTCTCACCTGCTGGCTCTC